AGAATCACTCTTTTCTGTGTTTCATCCTGGGGATCCAAAGTCAGCAGCTGCTATAGTCTTTTTTTCAGCACTGACACTTTCCAGCTCTTTCCACTCTCCTGATAAGGCTTCCTAGTCTGTCATTCAGACAGTCATCATTTTTAAGGGATGCGTTTTCAACCTTTCTATACTCACGCTTTTCTCCCACGTAACCCTGTGAGCTGCATTTTTCTTCATACGCTATGTTTTTGCTCAGAGGTATACAAACCATCTGTGCCTCTAATACAATGTTCTTAAATAGCCTCCAGGCAGATCTCTACGGTTTTTAAGTACTTCTCTTTGCCCTTCAGCCTGCTGTTAACCATTTTCCTCATAGTTTTATAATCTGTCCTTTTAAAGTTCGTTGTTACTGTGTTGTCCCTAAAGGAACAACGCTTTCATTATATCAAAACTAAAAGCGTGCAGTGATCACCGTTACCCCACAGAGGCTTGACAACACCTTCCTCTAATAACTTCTGCCTATTACAAGGTAGCTCCCTCTTGCCCATGGCCTTAACTGATCAGGCATTGCACTGAGGAGCGCCACGGGAGTCAAGGAACAGGAATCCTGTGCCATATGGATTGGAATGGCACCAAAGCCACTTTACATCTCCTGATAAAGGAAAAACTGCTTTTGCCAGCTGTTGCTTTACCTCCAACAAAAAACAAGAAGTGATAGCAGGGTAAAGACCGTAGAATTCAATCTTGTGTAATTTTCCTGACTGGTCCCATCCATTTTCCCCAGGAGGAAGTTACTTCCCAGGGGCTGGCTCTAAGATTTTATAGATTCTCAAAATCTTGAAGAAGTCTACAGGAGGTTGCAGTCGCTCATGGAAAACCCTGTTTCTCCACTGGTTTTAATGCACTCTTGTGACTGCTGCCTCTGGAATGCTCTCAAGGAAGTGGAGTGGAAGGAGAGGTCTACAACATGAAAAACTTCTTTGCAGATGAACACGTTGCTCTAGGAATGGGAATAAAGGGATGATACTGAAGAGGCAGTTGACACACCAGCCTGTTTGCTGAATGCACAAAGGATTGATTTATGGCATCTTGCCACGAGAGAGGGCTATAGGTTATTAAGCAACTTCAATGGACAAACACTTGCTGAGGCTGCATATCATACCTCTTGTGCTGTACTGAAGGTAATGACTCATCTGCAGGCATGCCTGATGTCCTTGAGGATGCAATTGGCTCTACACAGCCAAGCGAAGCATTACTTAGTTAATACACTACAGCACAAGGGAAACAATCAGCTGAAACGATGACATTGCTACTTCCTGCTTCATTATAAATCTGCAGCTTCCTAACAGGATTATATACTGAAGCATTGTAAAAAAAAGACATTAAGTCCTGTGATGAAACTTAAAAAATGTGTAATTAAAACAGCTAAATACAGGCTGCTTGTGTTCAGTGTCTGCAAAACATAGCCTTTGATCTTCCAAATGATACTTCCTGGAAAAGTGCTGGACACAAAAACTATCAGAATAGAATTCTGATTCATCCCTTCCTGTTTAGGCCAATGAAATGATCATTTGCAGACCAACAAATTTGTTTTTATTTGAGAAAAATTAACCTCATCAGACAGGCTAGAAATATAACCAAGGGTAGGAACTCCTGGACCACTTGCTGACCCGTGCATTTTCTTGCTAATTCTGTTCCATGTCTTTGCAATTTCTGTCTCAATAATGCAGCATCCCTGATGATTCACCTTGATTTCTATCATTTAGAGAAAGATCCTGTTTCTTCCAAAGGAAGAAAGGTGACAGAGTATCTTGCCTTTCCTGATGACATCCAAGCAGCATTGCAACATAAAAAGCCTCCACTATAAGCATCCATTGCTGCAACGCTACTACAGTTCGCTAGGTTTGTTCCAGCTTACTGCTCATCTAGGAAGAGCAAGAACTAACACCACCACCAATAAATGTTTTGGAGTCTTAATGAACTAGGAAACATCAAAGATTTTATTAAGAAAAACTGTACAAGATTCCCATAGTAGGTAACAAGCCTCAGCTACTTTCACCTTGCTCCTCCACAGTGCTTCTCTCACACGTAGCTGAACAAGATCCACAAGAAAAAAAATACATATACATTCCCCACCACAGGAGGGGAAAATGACTGGGGTGGGGGCAGGAGGTGAGAGAGAAAGAAAAAGCCAGGTAAATTGTCCATTCCAGTCCTAGCCCCACAGTCCATGTGCTCACTTTGGCTTCCCCTTTATTAGACAGTTCTTGTGATTATTATTTTCTCCATGGCCCATTGCTTAAGGCAGGTGATTGCTTAAGACAGTTTCACATTTCTTTCCTAAATGAACAAGTAATTGTTCTCTTTAGTCACAGGTTTCATGGGGAGTTGATGGCGTGTGTAATTTTCCTGGTGTGTCACATTAAGCACACTGAATTTTCACATGACTACTTGACTAAAATGCTTTTGTGCATCACTCACACCTCTTAATAAATATATCCAATTAGTTACTGTTAGGTGAACTGGGAGTGAAATACAATGAATACAAAGGTCTCCTCCTGGTCAGAGCACTACAAATCACAGTCAGAATAAAGGAAAGAAACCGGGTTTCCGTATCCACCTTTCCTTCCCCTGCTGTGTTGCCTGAAGAACAGCATGCCTTTCATTATATTATTTCCAAGTAAACTCAATCAATTTATTTGCATTCCAGACATCTGTCATGAAGTTGTAGGGCATGATTAACCAAAAGTACTGCACCCAGTGTTTTGAGGTAGCCCTCTTTTTACTGGACTTAGTCTCACAAGTCTTTCACTAGAAATAATGTTTTTTGTTTAAATGCAATTACTGACAGGCTTCAAACAAGATCTCAATCTTATTTTGAACATGCCAAATCTGCTGCGTGTTTGGGAGGCCCTCTCTAATTTTAAGGTAAATGCAAATTCCCTCTGATCCTTGGCAAGCATTAATCTCTTGATAGCCATGTGTCTCGAACTGCCTCACAGCTCAAGTGAGGAGCTTTCAGGCTGTGCAAGAAAAATGTAAGCAAGTATATTTTTGTGCTGATGAACAAAACAAAAAAAGTTTAAGTAAGCAGTCAATGGTTAATTCATTCTTTCACATGAGTCTTAGCACGTCAAAGTATTTACTCAGTTGTTGAAATATGCTCAAATATTCCTTCAGTACGCTGTAATGCTACAAGATTTCTCATGGGTGTACATATATATTATTAATGGATTCAAACAAGTTTTAAATATACAAAATAAATTGAAAGATTAACCCCTGGGAACATTTGATTCTATATTTCTTCTTCCTACACTTGGCTTTCTTTTTATATATGCATAATACAGACAAATTATGTATTTACGAATGTAACGTCCTCCTGGGAATAATCAGGTTGTCACACAGCACCTCTCTGGTCGTTCTAATATCAGACCAGTGCAACAAGACTTTAAAATCCATTCATAGGCCTGGTTTTAATTTTCTGTAAGAACAACAGATCTATTCATTCTCAAAATGAGGGTAACATGCACTTACACAATTACTGTGAAGTAGTATGCAGACTTGCATCTGATCTTATGCTGCAGGAAGTTGGTGTGTATTGAGAGATGTAGCAGTCATAAGAGGCTTCATTATCATGTGACAAAAAAATCCCATTTTATGCACTGAAACTTTCATTAAAATATCTTTGGACTACTTATAGAAAACATAATTTATTGTCTAATACCAGATTAACAAACTAAAACCAGCTGTTTCACACAGCAACTTCAAATTTGCTCCCCAATGAAGCTTTACAGCTCTAATAATTTTGAATGTCCCATCACAGAGCAGCAGAACCGGTTTCATTGCCTCACACCCTGTAATTCTACAGCAGTCTCAGGTCTTGCTTAAATATGCTTAAATATTGCTTAAATATTTCAAAGTCACTAGTCCCATTTCCACCACCTTATTCTCCCCAGTCCCATCAGCTCTCAGTGTTATTTTGAATTTCAGCACATCCTGTTACACAGATGGTACAGAAATGGTCACTTTCAGTGTACTGTACATGGGCAACTGAAAAATTTTAAAACTTTGTATCACAGCTATGACATTTCTCGACTTAAATTTCCTGTTTACAATTACCTACTTGAAGAAAACAAAAACAATGCTTTTCCACAGCTTAAAGATTAAATGCATTTTTTTAAATAAGCTGTTTGAGATCCCAAATAATTATGAACACATATGTAGCCAACTGGAACAAATATACCTCAAAAAAACCCACCACCAAACCACTGAGCCCATCAGTGTGATAACCAAAGTGCACAGTCTCCAAGGGTTTAGGCATCTTTCTTATGCATTAGTTGATACCATCAACTCCAATCAAAATTTTTATATCTTGCTAGCACAATTAATTCAAATGAATTTGATGCTGCTTAGACTGCATTCACCGAAGACAGGATTAAGACTACGTGATTTTAGCAACTGCAGCCTCACTTCCTGCAGCTGCTCTGGAAGAGCGCATCTGCCAAACCACACATGCAAGTTAGTTGCAAAATGCAAGTTAGTTGCAAACTTTCATTAAGCTATGAAGCAGGAAACTTCAGTCTCTGTTCCACAGCAATGGAGTCTCTCTCTTTTGAATGTCATGTCAACAATAACAGGTAAAAACCACACAAATATCAACTAAGGCCAGTAAATAGAGAGGAAATACAGTTTCAGTAATGGAGGACATTTTAAAATGTATTGATTGAAAATTTATATCGGTTGGATACGTACAGGTATATTTTGCCACTTATTTGTGACCTCAAATAGCTTTTACATACATTATTAAATTCTCTTTTAAAACAAAGACATGACATGCTGTTCATACAGTTCCATCTGTTCAGATGCAAAGACTTAGCTCTTGCTAGTTTTGTAGTACATTTCGCTAGTTGGACTATTACAAAGTAAGAGAAGACTCAGATACCATGCTTCAATTTCTAGGAAACCTCTCAATCTTACTCAGATTCCTAGAAGGGTAAGTAAAGCATAAAAAACCACAACTCCTAATCATCATTTTCCTCATCATCAAATGAGAGAAGACTGCTATTTTTTACTTGCTTAGCTGCACTCTGAGGAGTAGTTGCTTCTCTCTTAGTTTTCTTTGCCTCTTTCATCTTCTTACTTGAACTTACATTGAAGTCCAAAAGCTTTTCTGATGAACGTTTGGCTGGTTTCCTGAACATAATTTTTCCATCAGCAGGTACTGGTTCACCATCTATAACAAAGTGAATAAAATCAGTACTCATCTGCACATGTTCACACACATACACAGACCTTCACTATTATCTTTTCTTCTTCCCCGGAACCAAGATCAGTGAGACACCTGATAGAATACAACAATCATGAAAATGTAGTTTTGGGCCACAAAGTCTGTACCGATGACTGTCAATGCACACACATCTGCTCCATGGCAACCAGCCCTTGAAGATAGTTCTCCTGCAGTTTCTATTAGAAATGAGTTCTCACTAACCAGAGCTTTAACTTAGAACAGACTGTGACCAGTAGAGCTTTCCCCACACAATCCAGCTGCATCCACTTACCAAAACGGAGAGGACAACTTTATAGGATCCTATAATTCCACTTCACTATTTGTAAAATCCATGACAACAAATGCACTTATTTCAGAATTATGGTATCTCTTTAAAGAACAAAATGGCACATATACAAGACAAAGCTTTTCTTTTTCTTCTACTGTACACCCTGTCCTACTGAGACAGCTAAAAAGACCACATGGCCACAAATCTGCCTTTTTTTCTCATACAAAATGAAAGTTTTAGGGTCTTTTTCACCTCTGCAAAATCATCAAACTATTCCAACTGATTAATTCTGCTCCTCTGAATGTACTAGAGCAAATTACAATTTTAAAAAGACAAATTTTAAAACAATTTTAAAAACAGGATTATCAGGCAGAGAAGGAAAGGTACTGCACAAGTAACAGCATCAAGGCAGTATTTCTGAGGAAAAAAAAGTGTAATTGTAAAGTCATGAATCAGACACAAGGGCTCATGCTGCAGTAGTTTGAAATTTTTGTAATGTGTATGTGACGGGATGTTAAAGAACCATAGGTTCTGTGCAAGATATTTTTCCTAAAGTATTTTTGTGAAATTCATTATTCAACAGAAATTCCATAACAATATGCATGTGTTTGACAAGACTATGTGATACTTAATTATAGCCAATAAATGTCTTTTGTCTTTAGCACAAATTCTTTTCTCAATTCCTACGCATTATAGCAGAAGACTAACATTTCAGTGTTAACCATGCACAGCACTGGCTGAAACACTCTTCAGTGCACATTCCAAACAACACAGCTATTAAATCTGGTGTCTTAAGGGTTGTGTGGTACAAATAAAGACCATCAGCCTCAATAGGAAACTTCACATATAATTCCTGAAGTTTCATAGACCCTTCTTAAGAAGAAACCTGGCTTAAAAAACTAATCACCGATTCCGTCGATGACTTCTAACAGAACACATGCTTCTGCAGTGGTTTATGAGAGAACACTGCTATGCAGAAAATAATCAGGTTTGGGAAAGTATTTCAATACTGGTGCATTAGAAAAGCTTTACAGTTACAAGGAATTATCAGCAATAATAAACTGTAGATGTGATAAGCATACTTGTCAGTGGATCCGTTGTGAATTCTGCATGGAAATCTTAGGCATTTAAATGCTGTACATGGGATACAGAAGTTTAAGAAGTTTAAGCAGGATTTCTGATAAACACACTGAAACACACAAAGTAAAATATGTCCAACATAAAAGCATCACAGGAGAAATAATAAAATCCATTTCTGGTAAGAGAGTTAAAAAAAACTACACTAGCAGTTCAAATTCTGACTGCTCCTAGTCAGAATTCTGCTGCTTCTTTTACCTGGATCACAAACCTTTACACAGTCAACTAAGAGGGGCACAATCAGATGCTGAGCTGAAAACTCATTTTACAAGTGACATCAATTTAAGAAGCCACAAATCCAGAAAGTTTTTTCTTCTCTTTTAATTGCAAGTTATATATGACAATAAAAGTAGAAATGAGGGTCCGAAAAAGAAACACTGCTCTTCAGTTTACCCTATTTTTTATTTAGCAGTCATTCGTGCAGTTAGCAGCACCATTTTGCAGCAGTTTCTGTCCGCATGGGTCAATGAGGCTACAACTGGTAACACAAATGCCACTAAACTGGCAGGAACAACAGGAGGAGCAGCGCAAACAATATTTCAAGATATATGTCCATTCAATGATCAAGCTGGAAAAAATTTATGATAACCTGGCAAATTTCTGAATGGTTTCTAAGATTAGCAGTTGAGGTCAGCTGTTTCAGATGCTCCTATGCTTTCTGGCCACCCATCTCTATGCATGCCTTTGGAAGCATTTACTACAGGAATTCCACACACTGGTATCATGAAGATAAAAAGGCCAGTCCCTCAGATATTCAGTCTCATTCGTTTATGAGGACAATTGGGAAAGTTTTTGTTACTTAAATACTGTAAAATTAGCTTTGATAGAGATTCCTG